CTCACTCACCCAGTCACTCACCACACTGCAGATCACAACAACACTCTCACTCACCTAGTCACTCACCACACTGCAAACAACACTCTCACCCGCTCACTCACTCACCCAGTTACTTACCACACTGCAGGTCACAACAACACTCTCACTCACCTAGTCACTCACCACACTGCAAACAACACTCTCACCCGCTCACTCACTCACCCAGTCACTCACCACACTGCAAACAACACTCTCACCCGCTCACTCACCCAGTCACTCACCACACTGCAGACCACAACAACACTTTCACTCACCCACTCACTCACCCAGTCACTTACCACACTGCAAGTCGCAACGACACTCTCACCCGCTCACTCACCCAGTCACTCACTCACTCACCTAGTCACTCACCACACTGCAGGTCGCCTCACTTCTCGTTCTGCACATTCCCTCGCACTTTAAGACTTTGGAATTCCCTCCTTCCATCGTCTCCCCCCCCTCCCTCCTCACCGGACTCCCCCTTCCAAGCTCGTATCATAAACAGCCTCGATCAATTCAATAATTGAATTTCTGAACCTCCGATTAGCACGGTTGGCTACGTACGGTGCACAAGAAGTTCGGCACGCGTACAATAAAAAGTGTTTCACTCTTGCTCGCTCTGACAACTTTGACTGTGCTGTCTGGGTGCTGGACGCTAAACGTTGTTGAGCTTTAGTGCCTGTGCTCAGATTTTGTTTTTAAAAAAATATGGTGTCGGCTTTGGGGGGGGGGGGGGTTCAGTCAGCAGTGGATAGATCGTGGATGACGATAATTAAGAAGCCTTTCAGACGCTGTCTTTCCGACAGACCTGTTCTTCACCTGAGGACGGCTGCTTGCGTTGTGGCCGAAACGTCGTGAGAATTGTATTTGATTACGTTTTATTATTTATTATTTTATTATTTCCCTTCTACGTGACTTTACCGAAAGAACCAAGAAGATGAAGAAGCCTTTAATGCTTTCATCGCCAACTTGTGAAATACTGATCACTGCTTGAACGTGATGTATGAACGCAGCAGCGGTCGGCTCGCAGCTCCAACGCAAAAATAAAATCTCGATTTTACTCCGTCGGTCTTGCCGGCCTTGTGGGCCAATGTTTGTACAGCGCCACATTTTGTTTCGGGGGTAACACGCTGCTGATGAGACTCGGATGGTGGAAAACGGCACGAGAGTTGTATTTGTGTTCGTTTGTTTGTTTAAACAAACGTTGCTGACATTTGTTTGTTTATTTGGCAGGTCGATCGGCTTGTGAACAAAGACGTTCTTTTGATTTTTACTTATCGTCAGCAAAGATACATATTCTTGTGGGTGTGTTTATTAATGAATGCGTTATCTGTAACGCACCGTGACATGGTGTGTTAAAATAACGAGAATTATCGTCGTACGGCACACGCAATCACATGGGTGTTAAAATAATATCAGAATATTATCACATGTCAAGTGTGTGTATGTGTGCGTGTCGTATTCATTTTGTACGTAGGCATCCACGACCGATATTATTATTCACAATAGGTTTCTTTTGGGTTCGGTCATCGTGTCAATAAAATGTGTGTCAGGGGAGCCCTCTTCCACCCGGACACAGCCAATGAATTTATTTTTATTTCATTAAATTTTCACCTACGTGACTTTCCCGAAAGAACCAACGAGTATGGATCCTTGCAGTCACGAAAACTTCAAATCTACAATAAACCAAAAAGAGTCACGCGAATCAAACGTCCGCACCGCCCGTGTGTGGTGGAGATCAACACACGTGCACCCATGTCAATGTCGTGATATTGCTCCAAATAATATCACGACACACGCAGACACACGTGTACTGACACACGTGTACTGTAGTCGTGTACTCGTGTGCTCACATGCACACTGGTATACCGTATGCTCATACTGTGTATATATACACACACAAAGATTTCCCGCATAGCCTTAACAGACTGTTGGGGTGTTCTTGGCGAGCTCCTATGAAGGCCGGCACGGAACACGAGGGGATGGGTGTCCCGACAACCACGCCTGTCCGCCTTTGTCGCCCTATTGGTAGTGTTTTTACACCGTACCAGGTACTCATTTGAGGCTGAGTCGACCTAGGGAAGGCCCAGAACCGGTTCATATAAGCGTCGCTGGTGTTGGCCGTGAGCGGGAATCTAACTCGGGCCGATGGGTTTTGTAGCGCTAACCACTACACTACCGCTACCTAATAGCACGCACATACTCAAATACACGCTTACTTATATATATATATGTGTGTGTGTACGCAAATACATTATACTATGTACTCATATTTACAAATATACACATATGTGTACATATGCATGAGTATACATACATGATCTACACATAGACTTTATATATACGCATAAAGATATACTCATCACTATTTCAATAATCTGTGCCTCGAGTTTGCTGGCTGGCTGCTGGTTGGGCTCCTCACCAACCCCAACAGTAACTCTCTTGTTGTTGTTGTTATTGTTGTTGTTATTGTTGTTGTTATTGTTGTTATTGTTATTGTTGTTGTTAGCAACTGCTGCGGGCTGTTGCCACCGAAACTAGCCGGGTGGCTGGCGACACGGGATTTCCCGTTGTAACAAAATAAACGTGGAATTGAATTTAAACGTGCGGGAGAAGAATCATTTCGGAAGACGCTTAGTAATAACGACGATGATGATGATAGATGATCGCGACACAGAAGAGGTGGAAGTGACGAATGCAAGAGACAGACCACGGCTCATTTAAAATTGTCCATTAACTTTGCAATCGGTGCTCCTATCGATGTAAACGCATCTCTGTAATATTCTTTGACGCGTAGAGCATAAGACTAACCTTTAGAATACGTACACATTATCTTGACATTTTATGGTATATTTTTTTAAAAGCCAATTACTTTGAGTGCTTCGAGTGCAGCGCGTGACATTGACAGCCGTCTCTGATTTCCCATTGCAGAGCAACACACGTGATCTCTCAGAGTTTACTTAAACATATACAAAGATCCCCCGTATAGCCTTAACAGACTGTAGGGGCAAGTGCTGTTAGCGAGCACCTGTGAAGGCCAGAACTTTACACGAGGGGGTGGGTGTTCAGCACCACGCCGGACCGCCTTTGTCTCCCACAGTGGCGATGTTTACTACACACCGCACCAGGTACTCATGTTAGACTGAGTCGACTTAGGGGAGACCCAGGACCGGGACCGTTTCAAATAATCGTCACTGGTGTTGGCCGTGAGCGGGAATCGAACTCGGGTCGCCGGGTTCGTAGCGTAGCGCGCTAACCGCTACACTACCGAGCCCCATATAAACAAACACACACGCATACGCGTACACGCACACACACATATACACACAGTACAGAGGCTTGTGAGTGGGCTTTGTCTGGTAGGATGGGAATGGTTTAATGTTGTATTTGTACGCGTTTTGTGTGATTTGTCCACCTTTCTTTCACTTTGCGCTCCTATCGTGTTTCTGTATTGTTTATTACCCGCCCCGACCGGAGATATGTGAACAAGAGCCTTATAACTTTTCGGATTCTCCCAGTAAAAATAAATATTCTGACTCTGAAATATAAATACAGTAAAACATTGGATTGCGAGTAACTTGGTCTGCGAGTGTTTTGCAAGACGAGCAAATTTTTTAAATAAATATTAATTTGATAAACGAGCGAGGTCTTGCAATACGAGCAGTACGTGTTTACGCTTTGTCTGCCGAGCATCACGTGATCACAACTGATATACGAGTGCTTTGGATTACAAACACGTTTCCGGAACGAATTATGCTCGCAATCCAAGGTTTTACTGTACATATATATACATATATAAAACTAGATTTACTTGTGTGCATATATTTACGTTCGTGACAAGTCCACAGCCGGTCGTACTATTTGGATGCGTGTCCATGCCATGTGAATGTGGAGTTTCCATCTCAGGCTCGGGACGTCCAACGGAGACTCTTGACGATTCGTCTCGATCGTGACTCCGAGTCGATTTACTGGACGAAGCGATGAGGATCAACTCACGCTGTGGGGATAGCCGCGGACTTCAACTAGCAGTGGATAGATCATGGTTGATGTGGACGGTGGTGGTGGTGGAGATTCGGAACTTAACGATTCATGTGTCTGACTTCCCCGCGATGCGATGAATTGTCGCAATTCGGGGTCCCCATTCAATTCAATAATCGATTATTATGATTGTGTTGGATTGTTTGCCCTGTGTGTTTTGCCTCGTTCGTTAATGTTTTGTCGCAATTCAACTGTTGTATTCAATCTTCATATACAACAGTTTCTGGAAACGGTATAGCATCTATTCTTACAGGCGTGATCTTATGCGTAGAGCGAGAACATATGAAAATAGTTTAATCGATTTTTCGATTATTAATGATATGCATATTATGAAGATCCTTCTGCTGTTGCTGATGATGCTACCGCTACTGATGATGACGGTAACGATGCCAACCTAATGCGTGTTGGCGTGTAATCCCAACCACCCCATCACATCCCGCACACACACACACCATACACACACACACCATACACACCACATACAACACATCCACACACTAAACACACATCACACGCACACATACGCGCCTCTGCACACCATCACCACCACACGTACCACGCACACGGCTACACACGTAACACATATCACACACACCGCACAAACACCACACGCACAAACAACCCCCACGCGTTTCTCGCACGTTCGCACCACACACACACCACACACACACCACACACACACCACACACACACCACACACACACCACACACACCACACACACCCACATTCACCACACACACACCACACACACACCACACACACACACCACACACACACCACACACACACCACACACACACCACACACACCACACACACACACCACACACACCACACACACACACCACACACACACACCACACACACACCCCCAAACCCACCCACCCACACCACCCACACCACCCCCACCCCCACCCACACACCCCACACACGACGCGCGTGCAGGATGCTGCAGCCGCCGCTGCTGGGCTTGTCGGAGTCGCCCTCGCCGCCTCTCCTCTCGTTCGCGGCTCGCGACAGCCCCGCGGGCTCCCCGCGACTCGCGCTCTCGTGCAGCCCCGCGGGCAGCTCCAGCTCGAGCTGCCGCGCCCAGAGATCGCTCACGGCGCCCGCCACCTCCGCCTCTGTCACGGACAGCGACTCCGAGTGCGACGTGGGCATCGGCGACTATTGAGATGACTCGTTACCCTACCCACCCACACCAGCCATCCAGCCACCAGCAGGCAGTCGGGTTTGGCGTGGGCTCACGAATGAATTGTGGATGAAGGACGAATTGTAGCCGACGTTTTGGGGGACTGAGGATGGAACACGGGGGGCGAATAGTTATGCCACCACGTTTGTGTGTGCGGGTGGTGGTGGTGTTTTTTTTTTAAATATGGTAACTCAAGTGCTAGCGAGCGCTCAAGAACGCCGAGTTCTGTTTGGACGAGTGAATTTGAACTTCGGAGTGTGACTTACGACTCGGCGGTCAAATAACGTCTCACCTTTGTGTGACGTCGCAAGCAAGAATTTGTGATCCCGTGTGCGAATTAAGTACGACACGTGGTGGAGCTCTGTTGGATATCGCCGATAGGCCCTCGTTTGAATTTTGTGAATGAATCTTAGACCGTGCACGAACACCTATAAGGGAAAACGCGTCGTGATATAGCCTAGGTGTGGCGCTGTTTAGGCTGTGTATGAAACAGGCGATGTAAAATGCCTATGCGAACACTCCTCGGTACAATCCCCTATAGGATATAGCCAATGCGTCCATCCCAGTTTGGATGTGGTCTGTGTATGAAGCCCTGCAGGACCTAGCCCATGCACCATATCTCCCATTGATGATAAAACATTTACAGGAACAAGCCTATGCACAAAGCCCTATAGCATATAGTTTATGTAAAGAGCACTAGAGGATATAGCCCATATACTAGACTATAGGACTTAATGCATGCTGTGTATTCTACAGGGCTTCATACATCATCATGTAGAGCTTCATTAAATTAATATGTATTGCATATATGGCTTATGTAATTATCATCATGCATTATACAGGACCCCCCATAAAATAATTTAAAGAAATATATTTTATTTTATTGCATGAAGTTCTATATGGTGTATGAAGCCCTGTCGGATACAGATTATACGTGAAATCGTCTCGAACACATCCCATGTATGAAGTCCTTGTGGTTTAGATGGTGGGATGTTGTATGGTCAAATCTTGGAGGTGGTGTGTCTCACTGTGCAGCGAATTATTTTGGTGGTAACTGCGTTGACAGTGGTGCAGAAGCATTCATAACAAAACAGCCCAACAAAAACACTGTGGCCCTAACAGGGAGACGTAGATAACGGCCGACGTTTCGGGCGCTGGACCCCCTACATAGTACATGAAGAAGTGCCATTGCCAGGAACCTCTTTTATAGGGTGGCCCCAACAGTCAAGACACAAGGTTATTGTGCTTATTTTACAAAATCACAGAGGGTTCCTTAATTTATTGGAACATATTTTATAAAACTGACTTATGGTAACATAATTGCACGATGCATTACTTCTCTTTCGGAATAAATGTAAGACTTAAAAGATTACAGCTACCTTATTTAGCTTATGTAATACAACTAATTAAACGTGTTAGTCTTCAGTCAATTTTATCTCAATTTTTAAACGTCATCTCAAAGGAAAAAAAATGATATTAAGAATGATAATTAAATACAATATTAACTTAACAATTTACATTTTACTACCGGTGTTAAAATAAATAGAATAACCCTATGTATTTTGACTTCATTGGTGTTACAAATAATCGCCTCTTAAGAGAACCCACCTCCAACCCAGATCCTGGTCTCAAACTTACCGCCCTAAGCCCACTGGTCTTTCCAGACCAGGTCAGACCAGGCCCAGGTCTGAAACTTAATCCCTAAAGTTCACTGGCCTCTCTAGACCAGACCCTGGTCTCAAACTCAACCCTCAAGCTCGTTGGCCTCGGTTGAGTAATGGTCAGCGGCACATGGTAAGATCGTTTGGCGAACAGTCGCATAGGAGGTGTAGGAATGGAAAAATAGGAAGAGGTTTTACCCTCTCTGGCAATGAAAAAGGAGGCGTTACGATGTTCAATCACCAAATAGAAACCTTTTGCAAGGAATCGTGTCTGCATTAACCGGACATGATTCCTTGCAAAAGGTTTCTGTTTGGTGTTTGAACATCGTAACAACTGTTTTATTGCCAGAAAGGGTAAAACCTATTCTTATTTTTTCATTCTTGGATACTGGCAAAAAAGGCCCCATTTTGAGGTGGCTGAATATTTTTGACTGCTATGCCATTTCTTTTTAAAAGTCAACTTTTTTTTTTACACGATAACTCACGAAAGCACACGCATCGTGTGCACACGCGTCTCTACGCGTACGCACACGACGCATATGCGTGTGTAGTCGCCGTTCTCTCGGGGTGTAACGATGCATTTTCATCGATTCCCTATTGATGATTTTAGGTCGCGGTGCGTGCATCGAATCGCGCGTTCGTTTTTTTATTTTTTTAAATCCATTTTGTCATTTGCCGGGTATACTGTAATGGGTTCACGTGACCCACGTGGCCGCTAGAGGCCGCTATATTCAACCACATCGTTTAAAAAAAATGGATTTTTTTTAAAATCGAGTCAATTAATTCAAACGTCGGAAAGAGTTTGGGTGGTTGGGTGGGCGGGCAAGATAATCGGAAGACCCCTTCCTATTCTCTATCCACTGCTGGATGTTGCAGTCTTCATCCTTGATGTATGTCCCTCGTGTGCGTCCGTCTATTGCAGCTCTGTGCCGATCCCATGCGCGTAAATCGTTCAGTCTCCCGCTGGCACCGTCCTGTGCATTGCCTAATGTCGTCACGATCACACGCAGGCACATGATGTGTGTCGGCCAACATGGTTTTTTTAATTTGGAACGGTCGATAACTGGGGGGGGGAGGGAACCAATTCTTTCCTGAGAGCCGAATTGGACTTTCTAAGACAAATTTTCCTCGCTCTGCGCAGGTTCGGTTTGTGCGATTTCGCGCATATGCGGCGAACCTATTTCTACTCAATTCGCTTCGTGCGGTTGAGGTCGGAAGTGAGACAACGGTGTGTGTACTGTGTGTACTGTGCGTGTTGTCCGTGTGTACTGCGTGTACTGTGTGTGTACTGTGTGCGTACTGTGTGTGTGTACTGTGTGTGTAGTGTGTGTGTACTGTGTGTGTACTGTGTGTGTGTATACTGTGTGTGTACTGTGTGTACTGTTTGTGTGTGTGCTGTGTGTGTGTGTACTGTGTGTACTGTGTGTGTGTATACTGTGTGTGTACTGTGTGTGTATACTGTGTGTGTGTGTGTACTGTGTGTGTACTGTGCATACTGTGTGTGTGTACTGTGTGTGTACTGTGTGTACTGTTTGTGTGTGTGCTGTGTGTGTGTGTATACTGTGTGTGTACTGTGTGTGTACTGTGTGTGTACGTTGTGTACTGTTTGTGTGTGTGCTGTGTGTGTGTACTGTGTGTGTACTGTGTGTGTACTGTGTGTACTGTTTGTGTGTGTGCTGTGTGTGTATACTGTGTGTGTGTACTGTGTGTACTGTGTGTGCACTGTGTGTGTACTGTATGTGTGTGTGTACTGTGTGTACTGTGTGTACTGTATATGTGCGTGTGTGCTGTGTGTACTGTATGTGTGTGTACTGTGTGTACTGTATGTGTACTGTGTATATACTGTGTGTGTACTGTGTGTGTGTGCTGTGTGTGTACTGTGTGTGTGTGTACTGTGTGTGTACTGTGTGTGTACGGTGTGTGTACTGTGTGTGTGTACTGTGTGTGTACTGTGTGTGCTGTGTGTGCTGTGTGTGTGTACTGTGTGTGTACTGTGTGTGTACTGTGTGTACTGTTTGTGTGTGTGCTGTGTGTGTATACTGTATGTGTACTGTGTGTGCACTGTATGTGTGTGTACTGTATGTGTGTGTGTACTGTGTGTACTGTGTGTGTGTACTGTGTGTGTGTACTGTATGTGTGTGTGCTGTGTGTACTGTGTGTGTGTACTGTGTGTACTGTGTGTGTACTGTGTACTGTGTGTGTACTGTGTGTGTGTGCTGTGTGTGTACTGTGTGTGTACTGTGTGTGTGTGCTGTGTGTGTACTGTGTGTGTACTGTGTGTGTACTGTGTGGTGTACTGTGTGTGTACTGTATGTGTGTGTACTGTGTGTATACTGTGTGTGTGTACTGTGTGTGTACTGTGTGTGTGTACGGTGTGTGTACTGTGTGTGTGTGCTGTGTGTGTACTGTGTGTGTACTGTGTGTGTGTGCTGTGTGTGTACTGTGTGTGTACTGTGTGTGTACTGTGTGTGTGTACGGTGTGTGTACTGTATGTGTGTGTACTGTGTGTATACTGTGTGTGTGTACTGTGTGTGTACTGTGTGTGTGTACGGTGTGTGTACTGTGTGTGTGTACTGTGTGTGTACTGTGTGTGTGTGCTGTGTGTGTATTGTGTGTGTACTGTGTGTGTGTGATGTGTGTGTACTGTGTGTGTACTGTGTGTGTACTGTGAGTTTACTATGTGCGCAACTCGCCAGGCAGCTGTCTCCTCGTGCGGTTTCACTTTGTGCGCCATTTTTTTGGAACGCATCTACTACTACTACTACATCTACTACTACATCGACTACTACGACTACTACCGCGCAGAGCGAGGGAAACCTGTCAATGACTTTCAAATTAATTTTGCTTAACCAGGTGAGACCTTGAGGCCAGGATTCGAGTGCCTTGGATCTCAAAAAATGGCAAGAGCTAAATAAATAAACAACGAAACACGGCGAATAAAGTCAACAGCGATCAGAGCAAAAAAACAACTGTCACGTGGAGAAATCAAAAATGTTGCACGACCACCAATCAACGTTAAAGGCCACACTTTGGCACGCAAACCTCAATCACTTTATATCACTCGCCAGGGGCATCCTGCATTGGCACAAGTTAATGAGCGCACTAAGATTGGAAACATCGTGTTTGCCAGTTCTAGCATTCCCCCCCCCCCCCTTTCTCCCCTTTAGAAACATTCAGGATTTTTTGTTTTGCAGCCAATAGCTTTGCCATCTCAACAATACCCACACCCACCCACCCACCTCGAGTACGCGATTAGTGCAGCGACTGGGATGCTTGCAGCGCCGGCCAAAAATCGTTGACGGGCCGTGTCAAAGCGGCCGG